TGCTTTTATAATTGTGACAAACATTACATGGTCTATAGGTAAATCTCCCGAACAAGATACATGAATAGAAGAAGTATCCATCCTGGTTTCTTCTATTTCTTACCTCTTTTTATAGTAACTATGTTTATTAGTTTTGGTTTATCTTTCTGTTTCAAAATATAAACATATATACATACATACACTCACATCTATTTGTATATGTATACAAGTGTATTTTTATTTTGTATCTCTGCACACTTATTAGGTATAAAGTAGCACACTATAAATCTGTTTGCATCTTTTTTTTTAAGTTACTAAATAGCTCTCCATATATATTACTTCACTGTAGCCAATTCTATTCCTTTTTGTAGGAACATAATATTCCATTATGTAATTGTACCATATGTTATTTCAAATGGTTTTCTTTTTTTTTTAACTTTTTTTAATGTTTTATTTATTTCTTGGAGAGAGAGAAAGACAGCATGAGGAGGGGAGGGTCAGAGAGAGAGGCAGTCACAGACTGAAACAGGCTCCAGGCTCTGAGCTGGCAGTCAGCACAGAGCCCGACGTGGGGCTTGAACCCATGAACCGCGAGATCATGACCTAAGCGAAAGTCGGACGCTTAACCGACTAAGCCACCCAGGCGCCCCATATTTCAAATGGTTTTTTACTATGGACATTTGATTGTTTCTAGCCCTGCTATTATAGATAGTACGTATATAAATAGTCTTTTGTATGTGTCCTTTTTTCTTTTTAGCTTGTTTTTGAGAGAGTGTGAATGGGGGAGGGGCAGAGATAGAGGTGACAGAGGATCCGGAGCAGGCTCTGGACTGACAGCAGTGAGCCTAATGCAGAGCTCAAACTCAAACCATGAGATCATGACCTGACCCAAAGTCAGACACTCAACTGACTGAGCCACCCAGGCATCCCACAACTGTGTCCTTTCATAGGGATTTTTGTTATTTATGTTTGGGATGGATTCCTAGAAGTAGAATTCCTGGATCAAAAGGTAAACATAGGCAATTTTGCTGGTTGTTGCTAAATTTCTCTCTACAAGTGGACAATACTACTTTGTATTCCCATCAACAATGTTTGAGAATACTTGTTTTCCCTCAGCCTATGAACAGACCATTACCAAACTTCACAAAATATTTTGAGGTATGATCATAAAGATAGGGTGCTATGTTGGGCCTTGACAGTAGTCTTAGAGAAATGCATGTCTTCACAAAAGAGGTAATTACATTAAAGTAGTGTCAAAGGTGTAGCATAAAGAGGACTTATTAACTGGATGGAGGCATTATAAGAGAAATTGGGGATAATTCCTAAGTTTCTCGGAATATCAGTAGTTTGCTCTGGAGAATACCGAACATCAGATTATGGGATAGAGGAATTCCATCTTGGATGCCTTGAATTTGAAGTGCTTCTGAGACATCTGTTAGAAATGTAGTTGGATATATGAATCTGAAGAAAATTGAGATTATAGTAGAGTTTATGTGTTCCCATTCTGTGTGTGTTAAGATGTCTGTAGATTTAAGATACCCAGGTAAAGAGTAATAATATTTGAGTGTTTGGCATGCTCTTGATTTTGGTAAGAGTAGCTTCATATGCTCCTTTCATGTTTGTGTTTATACATAGCATTGACTTAGCATCTTTTTGTGGCTGGAATTAGAAGACGTATTCTTACTTTTCGTGACTTACCTTCTGTAGACTAGTATATACATATAGGGTATATGTATATATAATTCTGTTATGAAATTGTAAAAAATTTATTTCCATGGCAAATATAGCTTATATTCCCCTTGCTCTGATGTATGGGATGATTTATTTTGCCTTATCTCTGATAAACATGATTTTATATACAAATTTGAAACTTTGGTCAAGTTTTCTACTTTACAAGATTTCCTTTCTTAGTATCTATTTTTGACAAACTTAGGCAAATGGGGAATTTTTTGCCATTGAAATATGTTCTCTTCATATTAAACATACAGAAATACATGATAATGTCATGATGACAAAATATAATTTTTACAGCACAGCTGAGAAAGGAATCTCTTCTAAAAGAATAGTTTTCTGTATGATCTGAAGAATATTGAAGCAGGAAACAAGTTCAGAAACTTCAAAATTAGAGAAGTCCTAAAAAATCTAGTTTAACTTCTTCATTTTACAGATTGGGAGACATGTTGGTTATTTTTGTGACAGAAACATTGTGAAACAACATGGGTGTGTAAACCCCAAGTGTAAGAGACTTCTAAATTTAGATTTGACCATTAAAAATTTTTTAAATGTTTATAGAGAGAGAGAGACAGAGCATGAACAGGGGAGGGGAGAGAGAGAGAAAGAGAGAGAGAGACACACACAGAATCCAAAGCAGGCTCCAGGTTCTGAGCTGTCTGCACAGAGCCCAATGCAGGCTCCAACAAATAGTGAGATCATGACCTGAACTAAAGCCCCACACTTAACTGACCGAGCCACGCAGGCGCCCCAAGATTTGACCATTAAAAAATGAGGTTGATATGGGAGAAGAGGAGAGCTATAGACCTGATTTTGTAATCGTCAGTTTCTTTCTTTAGTATTATTTCTGTGGGATGACAATATCTTTTTTTTTTTTTTTAATGTTTTATTTATTTCTAGGAGAGAGAGAGAGACAGCGTGAGCAGGGGAGGGTCAGAGAGAGAGGCAGTCACAGACTGAAACAGGCTGCAGGCTCTGAGCTGGCAGTCAGCATAGAGCCCGACGCGGGGCTCGAACCCACGAACCGTGAGATCATGACCTAAGCGAAAGTCGGACGCTTAACCGACTAAGCCACCCAGGCGCCCCGGGATGACAATATCTTAACTGACATTTACTTAACCTATTATGTACTGTTTTAAGCACTTTATAAGTCTTCTTATTTTAGTTCTCAAAACAACCACGTGACGTATAGTTACTTATCATTAAGCTACATTTTACACATGACAGTTTTAGTAAGGGTACAGAAATTTCCCAAGGAGTCCCAATAGCAGGAAGCTAAAATGGGAATTTAAACCCAGCCAGTGAAACACCAGGATGATAAAGGACTCAAAACCTTTTTCTATAAGTTAAAGGAAATCCATTTAAGGTATTTTTACTTAGAAGAGAGGATTGAGGGTGGTGCGGACATTTAGACCGTCAAATATTAAGTCTTCTGTGGACAGAGTGTATGGATTCCTTCATGGAATCTGGGCATAGAATGCTTTCCAAAGCTTATGTTTGATCCAGTATCAAGTAGCCTCTCCTTCCTATATCAGAGCTACGTGATGATAGAATGGGTTTTCTTAGGGTTAAAACTGCCCCCTTCAGGCACCTGGGTGGCTCATTCAGTGAAGCAGCCACTCTAGTTTCAGCTCTGGTCATGACCTCATGATTTGCAGGTTCCAGCCCCGCATTAGGCTCCATGCTGAAGATGTAGGGCCTGCCTTGGAATTCTCTCTCTCTGCGCCTCCCCTGCTCGCACTGTCTCTCTTAAATAAATTTAAACAAACAAACAAAAAACAAAAAAACCCTGTCTCCTCATTACTGTCCAAGCAGAGGTTACGTGGTTATTTGGAAGGCTTGTGGTAGAAGGGAATTAAGGCATTAAGAAGGTAAATGGACCAGATCTACTCTGAGGCCTTTTGCTAATCCTGAGATTTTGTTTTTTGGTTAACTAAAATTTGAAGAGACTTTGTTAAATTGGAAGATTAACTAAAGATCCCACCTAGGACTAATACCCATTTACTCTAAATGAGTTAGATATACTGTGAGAGTCATAGTCTTTATAGTACTTGGTTTCTTCAGAAGAACCAAGGCTTTCTGCTAGAGATGCTTTCAACTTCAGGCCCACTTACATTTTGAGCAGACCACTCAGTTGGCTAAGGGTTAATGGTCTTCACTCTTAGTTTCTACCTTCTTAATATTGTTTCAGTAGGGTATGCTACTTATTCTCTTGTATTCCTATAGCACACTAGGCTATCAGACTTGAGCATGCTTTTCAGTTACCAAGAGGATTTATGAAAATCAATTGTCAGGCCTCATTCCCAGATAATCTGACTCATTAGATCCAAAGTGGAGCCTAAGAATTTGTATTTGTCACATGTTCCCAGATGATGTTGACTCTGTTGATCATGCTTCGAGAAACACCATTATATTATAGTAGTTTGGCCTACCCAAAAGATTGAGCTTTCCAAGAGTAAGAACCAGACATTATTCATTTCTTTGTCCCCCTACTCCCAATCAATACATAAAGGCCACAGGTCTTAAATTTTAGAAACCATTACAGACTGTTACATTGCTGTCTTTGGCCTGGTGATACCAGAAATAAGGACTGAAAATTTAGAAAACTTCTAAAGCTTTAGGTTGAGATCAGTTTTGTTTTTTTATGTTAAGCTTACCATTAGAAGCACAAAATCAAGATTCTGCTAGAATCTTCACACAGTTCCACTTTCTGATATGTACAAGTTTTTTTGTTTTTTTTTGTTTTTGCCATTGCTAGACTACATGACTACATGTAAGAACTAGAATTTTACCTCTCTTCCTGGAAAAATGGACAGAGCATGAGTTGGGGGAGGGGGTTGGGAAGGCAGAGAGAGAGGGAGAGAGTGGGGGGGAGAGAGAGAGAGAGAGAGAGGGAGGGAGAATCTGAAACAGGCTCCAGGTCCTGAGTTCTCAGCACAGAGCCTGATGCAGGGCTTGAACTCATGAACTGTGAGATTATAACCTGAGCCAAAGTTGGATGCTCAACTGACTGAGCCACCCAGGTGCCCACTGTTAAAGTAATTCTTAAGCTTAGATTAAGAAAACACAGCAAGAAGAACTTGTGTTTTTTATCTTCTCCTACCGCACCCCTCAATCTAGCAAAGAATGCCTTACTAAAATTTTAGGAAGAACTTTATTCTGGCAATTAAAATCATGAAAAAATGTCATTTAAGTTAAGAATGATTCGATTTTTATATATGTTGCATATAGTTTTAGTCTTTGGTAGTAATCATAAGCAGCATATGATTCTTCTCTTTTTCTCTCCTCAGATATCCAGAAAGTGGTACTGTAGAAATAAATGTCAAGGATCTTCGACCACGAGCTAGAACTAATTTGAAATGGAATGAACTAAATGTTGGTGATGTGGTAATGGTTAATTACTCTGTAGAAAATCCTAGTAACAGAGGATTTTGGTTTGATGCAGAAATTACTGCACTGAAGACCATCTCAAGAACCAAAAAAGAACTTCGTGTGAATATTATCTTAGGGTAAGATTCTCTACACTGATACCTTTTAATTACTGAAGGAATCAAGGAATATAATTCTTAGGTATAATGTACATGTTCCTTAGTAAAAAAGATGGAATCTATGAACGATAAAAAGAATGGCCCTTAAATGTCTATCACTGCTTTAGGGCTGGAGATATTACTTGAAAGCATCTTGGAAATAACTGAGTATTAGAGAAATCCTTGCTCACTTCACAGAGGATCTCTGTTGAATTAGTAGCAGTGAATATCAGCCTAATCAGCTATCTGTAGTACTTGCAAGACTAGCTGAAATTTTCTTTCATAGTAATTTTCTTAAGTTTACAGATTTTAGCAAGCTTAATGAAGAGAATTCAAAATGTAAAATGTCACCCAAAATGCCAAATTACTTAACTGCTATTTCTGTCATTAATTCACTAATTTACTTTTTAAAAAGCCTCTTAAACTGTTTCTAGTTCTTATAATGTTTAAGTAAACAATCTTGTATTATGTATTTTGTGCTTTGCTTTTTCCATAGAATGAATTCTTAGAAGTACATTTCTGTTGAGCATTGGGGATTCTAGAATTACCCTGGCAGTGTGTGTGTATGTTTATATACATGATCCTGCTTCATAGCAGCCACACTAACATTCTTGTTAAGTTCTGATTAACAGGATTATTATATATAAGATATATTGAGTAGATAATGATTTACGTGTTAAATATAATGGATATGTTATATCTTATAACAAATCTGAGGTTAAACATCTGCTTATTTGATTAGTAATACAAAGTAAGAGTCCGTAAACTGCAGCCTACTAGCTACCTGATTTTAGGAAATAGTTTTTGGAATGCCTGTCCATTTACACATTATCTATGGCTATTTTTGTATTCAAAAACATTGTTCAGTATTTGCAATGCATACCATTACAGTAATGTGTAGAGAAAATATCTAAGACTCCCTGGCTTGTGAAATCTAAAGTACTTACTTTCTGACCCTTCATGAAAAAAGTTTACTGACTCCTACGATAAAGAAAAGTAATGTTGTGAGGTGCTGATAATAGCTTATACTTTAGAAAGCTGTTTCTGAACTTTCTACAAACACAAGTGTGATTCTGTTGCCAGGTAAAGATGTAACTCACAGACTTCCAAGCAGCTTGAAATTCTGATAAGGGTACAAATCATAAAGAAAAGGAAAAGGCATCTACATAAATTGGTTTTATAGGGAGCCTTATAATGTACTTGAGTGCAAGAAGTCCAAAACAGCATGTATACATAATAGGAGGTAACAGTACTCCTAGCATAGAGTAGCTCACTATTTAAAAAATTTTCCCTGAGTGATTCTGAAGTACAGTTAGAGTGGAGCACCCTGGCTTTAGGGTCTAGAACTATGACTGAATGGAAATTATAGATAGGCAAACAATTAGAACAATTATGTGATACCTCTCCCAACAGTAAAACCCACTGTCCTGTAATGCATTATGTTCTGTCATTTAAGTTTTTACTGGATGTGTTAGGAACATAAGAGCCAAAAAGCAGCCAGTGTGGTATGTGACTTGTGAATAGGATTTTCCCCCTCCATGTTTAAAAGTCTTTTCTCTTTACGGGAAAGAGTGGATAAATAATCAGAATGAAGGTGTAAATGTATTCTCATGTTGATAGTTTGGGACTTTCACAAACTCTGCTGTTGTGACATTATCTCTGTGTTCCGATGCTTATGTACATTAGTTTCTGTAGGGCACATCGTGTCTAGAAGTAGAATTGCTGGATTGTAGAACTTGTATGTCTTTAATAGATAGGACCAAATATTTGAGTGGCTATATCTCATTACATTTCTATAGCAGTATTAGAGGTCCCATTGCTCTGCGTTCTCATCCACACTTAATTTTGTCAGACTTGAATTTTTGCTAATCAGGTGGGTGTATAATAAAATAGTATATTATGGTTTTGATTTGCATTTCCTTGACTACTAAGGAGATTGATAACCTTATGTTTGTTGGCAATTTAGATATCTTTTGTGAGGACCCTGTTCCAAACATTAATGTTTTGTTGTTAGTAGGTAGTCTTTGTTACTAATTTTTTGTATTACTAATTTTTTAGGAGTTCTAATTAGCAGGGCTTGACCATTTCAGTTATGCATAGAGAAAATATCTCTGCTTTTATAGCTTTTTTCATGTTTTCAATAATATTCTTAACCTTAAGTTGAGTTTATCAAAAATTTTCCCCTGATGATTATGCATTCTGTGTCTTGCTTAATAAACCTTTTTGGGGTTTGGGAGGGGGTTAGGGGAATGCGTGAAGGTGGTCAAAAGGTACAGACTTACAGTTCCAGGGACAGCATGGTAACTGTAGTTAACAATACTGTATTGTTTATTTGAAAGTTACTGAGAGTAGATCTTAAAAGTTCTCATCACAAAAAGAAAAAATTATAACTATCTGAGGTGGTGGAAGTTCCTTCCTGTGGTAATCGTTTGTATATCTATCAAATCATTATGTTGTATACTTACACGGTATGTGTCAGTTATATCTCAATAAAACATGCAGTCAACAGGGGAGAAACATTTTCTACCCAGAATGCATTATTTAAAAAGCTTTGTGGTTTTATCTTTCTTTAGTAGGTCTTTAATTCATTCAGTGTAGGTTTTTGTGTACAGTGTGAGGGTTTAACTTATCTTAATATATATGGATAAATATATATGGATAATCATTTTTGCTAGCATCGTTTACTAAAAAGTCCATTTTTGGGGGTACCTGGATGGCTCAGTCTGTTGGGTGTCCAACTTCAGGTCAGGTCAGGTCATGATCTTGTAGTTTGTGGAGCTACGTAGCTACGTTCGAGCTACGTGTCGGGTTCTGTGCTGACAGCTCAGAGCCTGGAGCCTGCTTCGGATTCTGTCTCCCTTTCTCTGCCTCTCCCCCACTTGCACTCTGTCTCTCAAAAAATGAATAAACATTAAAAAAAAATTAAGGAGTGCCTGAATGGCTCTGTCAATTGGGCGTCTGACTTTGGCTCAGGTCATGATCTCACAGTTTGTGAGTTTGGGCCCCGCTTTGGGTTCCGGGCTGACACTTCAGAGCCTGAAACCTGCCTTAAATTCTGACTCCTTCTCTCTCTGCCCCTCCTCTGCGTTCTCTTTCTCTCTGTCTCTCTCTCAAAGTAAATAAACGCTAAAAAATTTTAATTGAAAAAAATAAAAAGCCCATTTTTGAGGGGGAGAGGCTAAAAACAAAAGCTTATTTTTCCCTCATTGATTTTCAATATCCCCTCATATCAAGTGACTATAATTGATGCATCCATCTGATGTCTCTTCTGTACCACGCGTCTATTTTGTATGTCATAATATCGCTTCCTACCTTGCTCTTCAATAGTTCTCTATCTTCTTAGGTCTGTGTGCTTTCATTTGAATTTTCCAAGTCATCTTGGTAATTTAAACATAAAAACCTTTGTGAATTTAATACTTACTGTGTTGACTCTAATCCAGGAATGTGCTTGTTCTCTACTTATTTAGGTCTTTAATGTGTTTTTCTCATGTTTTTATTAGGTTGAACCATATACAATGTTTTTGTAGGTTCAAAATAATTGAACGTTGGCAATTATATGGTAGATCCTGATTTAACGCCCTTCAGAGATCTGATCTTATATGGGTCTGTTATCTTTATTTAACTTCAGGTACTACTTGTTATTTCTGTAAATGCTATTTTTATTTCATTTTCCTTTATTGCTGGCATAAAGTAACCTTTGATCATGGATCCAGTAGCCCTACTGGATTTACTAGTTTTAATTTACATGTAGATTTTTGGGGCAATTTTTATGATTATAAATCATGAAATGAATAAAAATTATCATCTATGAATTATGACATTTTTGTCTTTTGATTTCTTTTATTCACCAGCTGCCTTTTAGTATGTTGTTGAAAGGAAGTGATGATAGCAGACATCTTTTTTCTCCTTTATCTTTATGAAAAAAACTTCTAAAATTTCGCTAGTAACTATAGTATTTGACATAAGTATTTTGTGGACATGCTGTCCTGGATTTGCTTTGACAATACTTTGTGTGGGATTTTTGCATTGTGTTAATGAGTAAAATTTGCATGTTAATTTTCCTAACTGTCCTTAACAAATTATTCAGATTTTATAAAATAATGAGAATATTCTTTTTCTATCTTTTTTTTTTTAATGTTTTATTTATTTGTAGGAGAGAGAGAGAGACAGCGTGAGCAGGGGAGGGTCAGAGAGAGAGGGAGACACAGACTCTGAAACAGGCTCCAGGCTCTGAACTGGCAGTCAGCACAGAGCCCGATGCGGGGCTCGAACCCACGATCCGTGAGATCATGACCTAAGCGAAAGTCGGTTGCTTAACCAACTAAGCCACCCAGGCGCCCCTATTTTTCTATCTTATGGTGGAGTTTTGTTTCCTTTTCTTGAATTTTTGGTAGCACTTCTCAGTAAAGCCTTTTTTCTTTTTGAGAAGGATTTTTATAATTGGTTAATTTCTATAAGGATTATAGGGCAATCCAGATTTTCTACTTCTTGAAGTAGAATTTTATTTTTTAGAACTTGATTTTATCTAAATTTTATTTAAACTTCAGCTTTGATACTCTCTATTGTATTGAAGGTGCAAAGGAAGAAATAAATATAGGACATGATTTTTAATCTGCCTTGGATATTTGTTAAGGGAACTTGGAGTTAAAGTTCATGCTTGTTTCTATTTTTAAACTGTGACTACCAAAAAGTGAATATGCTTAAAATGTCTACTAATCAAATTGTATTTTTAGCTTATCATTCATTTTCTGTTTCTATTTTAGCTTTGAAGAAAATTCAGAACAAAAGTTTAGGAGTTTAAATCCATTTTTCAAAATGGATTCAGTTACTATTGTGATGCATATTGCATTTTATACCACATGAAGTTATATTAGTTTAGATGTTTTTTTTAAATTTTTTTTTTTTTTTAATATTTTTATTTATTTCTAGGAGGGAGAGAGACAGCGTGAGCAGGGGAGGGTCAGAGAGAGAGGGAGTCACAG